GTCAGCTTAAAGGCAGGTGTGGAAGAGTTCCCCTTGGTTTGAAAGAGGCCACCACCCCCTGGGTAATTAGGCCAGGCTCTACTGCATTAAAGATGCCATCGAGGAGGAAAGGCAGTGAGCTGGGAGCTGTTAACGGCTACCTATAATCAGAGACAGATTGAATTACACAAAGAGCCTAACTGTCCGAGAATTCAAACCAGCTATTTTTAGGCATCACCAAAGGCTCCTGTGGGCCGTTGCAAATTCAGAGAGCATGAATTGGGTGCTGCTTGGAGTGCATTGAGGAGTTTTCATTTCAGGAAGAAAGGGGCATATCACAACTGCTCAATAACACTGTGCTAGGTGCTTCCTTGACTTTATCTCACTCGGTGGTCACGGCCATCTCTAAAGGTTGGAATTGTCCCCATTTTACCGATGGGGCACTTGAGGCTCAGAGAGTCAGCAGCCTGGCCAAAGGCAACATGGCAAGTAAGTGAGAAAGCTGGGATAGAAACCATGTCTGCCTGAGTTCAAGACCTACAACGTCCCTATCATAGCCTTTGTGGACTTCGCTGAGGGGATAAGAGCAAACCAATTCTTCCCCATCGTGACGCAGAAGAAAATTTTTCTACCTATCACCTCCTTGACCCTACACAGCAGAACTCCTGAAGACCCATATACATTATAAAATTCAGGGGTCCTGGGCACATATCAAGGGGAAGAAGAGACCTCGAGAACTGGCAAAGGAGGAGCTAGGGATTGTCCCTCCAGCCAGTGTGATTTTACACGATCATCTGCAGCTTCCCTTGGCAGAAATGGCTGGAATGGAGTTATCAATGAGCATAACACAAGCACGACACAAAACTCCCCTTCTAACTTTCAAAGACAACAAACTGCCAAAACTCACAGTACACAAAATACACTATGTAAATTGTGAACCCTAAGTCAAGGATCTATTTTTTTCCGTGATCATGTAATACTTCCACCATAATAATACTTCATAATACTTCCCCCAAGATAGAAAACAAAACAAAACAACACAGAAAAAACAAGAGGAAAATGTGCTGAGTCTTGGGAGAAGCTAGTCTGTCTGCAGTCCTGGGGGTTTTAGGTAACACTGAAGGACGGTCAGCACCACGGACAGCCACCCAACGGGCCCAATATGCATATAACAGATTCAATGTAGTTCTAAGAAACCTTGTGACACAAATCTTGCAAGAATCTTCCAGGGAAATGGAAATTCCTGCAACATCCTATAAAGCTGTAATGTTCTCAAATCACCGGCAGGTCTCTGCCCCTGGGAGGAGAGCTACACTTGCTGACACATTTAGCAAACTTCTGTGAAAAATGTAATCCAACAAAGAAGGAAGTCCATTTCTCGCTTCTTTTGTAACAAGAGCAAAGAGTCCATGTGCCTGAGAGTCTGTGTCAAGGAAGAATAGCAGGGTGCCTGCAGACATTTGCTCTGCCAACCTTTTAATGTTCTCGCTACTATAGGAGCATTCCATCACCTCAGGAACATGCAGGCTGCCTCCCTATGCAAGGCGTATGCCCTACCAGAGTGGTGTTTGGAGATAATAAGCCTCCTTTAAATCTTTCCAGTCATTAAGAATTCTGTGCCACTGCTCAGGGAAACACAATTAGGACACAGCGTTAATACCAACTAATGACAATACAAATGGAGCCTGGTTTCTACCATACGTGTTTCCTGGTGCGTTTGCTCATTTCCCTGCCTAGTGTTGTGTGCCAGTAACTTGGAAGGCCTCCTTTTCTGATTTGCGTATAAATCAGATCCAGAAATGGGAAGCCAAAGGTGGCACTGCATCAGAACAAAGACACCGGCGATTCTGTTTTGCTTGGAGTCAGCAAACAGGGCAGAAGGACAGACCAGAGGTCAGGGAAAGTAGGAGGTAAGCTAGATCCAAGGAGTTCTCCCAAAAGAGAGGAGATGAGGTCCAGAATCCAATACAAGAGGTCAAGGTGTCTACAGCACCCAAACTAGGAGTCAGAGGGCTGGGTTCCAGCCCATGCTCAGTCCCTAGGAAGTACTGTGGCCTTAGAAAAATCACGCTTGCTCATCATTTCCTGAAGTCACCTTTTAGACTTTTGCATACTCATTCCCTCTTCCTAGATTTCTCTCCCACCCCTTCACAACTTGAGTCTGGATATCCTCCTCTCCTACACCAGGCAAAATCCTGTGTGTCTTTCAAGGCCCTAATCAAACAGCTCTCTTCTGTGAAGCCTCCCTCCATGGCTGTTCAACTCAGCCACTTACGCTCTCTGGGCTTCAGTCTCTAAAGCTGTAAAAGGGGACATCAGCAAGGAAGGTGCTTCCAACAGGGTACTCAACATAAGACCTTTGCTGACCCTGCACTTTTTGCTCATGGTTGGAATATAGGGCTCTCCCTTTTATCTGGAAATCTCCTTAGAATGAGATTCAGCTCAAATGTTGCTCCCTTGCCTCCCACAGACAGAGCCCTTGCAATCCCCCAGCACATACCCCCACTGGTGTTGGGTCTGTTTCTCCACTGGACGGTGAGCTCCCGAGGACAGGGACTGTGCTTTATTCTCCACTCATCCTCCCCGTGCCTAATCCACGAGGGTGCTCCTCAAGCATTTTGGTTCAATGAATGGTCCCCAGGCTCTCTCCAGATTCCATGTTGCCAACTGGGAGCCCACCAGGAATCTCAATCTGACACATTATCAATCATCCATCCCCTTATCCAAGCCACTTCCATTCTTGTCTCAGCCTTGAGGTTAATAAGGCTTCAGTTTTCTTCTGGAGGCTCCCTCTGAAGATGCCCAAGCTTCAAATCTTGTAGAGTGATGATTCAGGACAATGTGGTGGACTTAGAGAATCCAGGATACCACCCTCAGTAGACATGATTTATGTTCCCCTCTTGGACGTCAATGCAAAAGACTCCTTTCTCAGATGGAACAAAACACCATCCCGGGTAATGCTGCCGCAGAGGTACATAAGCTGAGGGGTGCAGCAGCATCCCTGCCAGCCTCCGGGGCTGTCTTCAGCAACCACCCAGCCCTCCCACTGCTACAAGGGCAAGACACACCCTATTACACAGAAGCTAGTGTCTTTCCGTGCTGAGGCTTGTATATTTCAGCTGATTGAAAAATCTTCGATGGCCTATGACAGTGTTATTCGTATTAGATGATCACAGTAGTTTGTGTGTGTGTATGTGAGAGAGAGACAGAGTGTGCGTATCAGGGGTTGGGGGGCGGAATATGTCCAGATTATCCAGCCAATCTGAACATTAACCAATAGGAGGTCTGGCTGCTATCTGGCTAATGACCTACATGGCCTAATTCTTGTGCTCCAGCTCATCCTCACCCACTAGGATGTTGTAGTGGCAACAGCTTTCTCACTAAATACCCATGACTCTAAGGCCATCTCTTTGGATAGTCAAAGTCACCATCAAAAGAACATAAATATTGGCATAAAGGGATCTGTGTGAGGATGGTAAATCTGCCATCAAATTAAAACCTCATTACACTAACGGCCAAACCGGAGACTCGCTGTGTGGACATTCTCCAGCCTGGATTTCACACACCACCTGTGCCTGCTGCCAGACAGGACTCCCGCCCCGGGTGAACGGAGGCGACTCTGGGCGGTAGATGGTGCATCCATTTGCAGCAATCAGCACCTTTTGCAAATGGGCAGCATGCTCAACCCTCCTGTAGAGCAAAGCTTGAGCGGGGGGCTTCAAAAGCACGGGATTTGGAAAACGGAAGGCATTATCAGGCAAACCAACCAACGAATTTGTATAAACAACGGCACTCCTGTGGAAGACTGGCAAAGCCACTCACGATGGCAGGCCAATGTTCCGGGCAGGGCGTGTCAGCTCTGCTGAGGTCTGAGGCCTTATTATTCAAAGTGTAGTCCCTGGCCCAACAGCTTACCATCACCTGGGAGCTCCTCAGAAATGCAAAATCTCACCTTCACCAGCTGAAACAGAATCTGCATGGTAATAAGGCACATTCCAATTTGGGAAGCCCTGGCCCAAGGGTCAGAGATGCAGTTGTGGGTTCCTGTCTCTGCCTCAGGTCTGCATCAGAAGGGTAACTGGGAGAAACCCAGCCCTCTGTCTTTTGTCCAGGCCCTTCGCAGTTTTCACAGGTTTGTGGGTCACCTTTAAATAGACTGGGTGACCTTGGGCACTTAAACTCGGTGAGCCTCAGTTTCCCCGCTGTAAAATGGGAATTAACACTGGTAACCACCTGAAGAAGCTACAGGGAAGGGATACGAAAACAGTCCTGCAGTGGGCTTGGCACAGTGCCTGGCACACAGCGGATTCTTACTAAACATTAACTGTTAGGAAGCAGCCAGAGGGGGGGACATGGGACGATGTCTGCAGAAGACGGGCCAGCGCCCACACTCTCCCGCTCACTTCCCTCTCTCCCTCCCTCCCTCCATGTGGAAACTGGAAAGTTTTTCCAACAAGACTGAAGCACTGACAAGCAAGAAATTCTCTCTATGGGAGCACTGAAGACATAGGCTCCAGAGTTGGTTTAAATCCTCTGCGGCTTATGTGACACTGACCCTCAGTTTCCTGGTCTATAAAATGGGAGTCAGAGAAGAACAGTGCCAACTCGCAGGGTCACTGTGAGGATGGGCTACTCCACATAAGGCATTTAAAAAAGGACCAGGTGTCTGCTCTCGCCATCGTTTTGGTCCTCGTCTTCGTCCGCATCACTGTTACAGACAGTATGCTTTCAGAAAATCAGGAAGGCCGACAGCTCAGGCTCTAGCTCACTTCCTCCCGGAGGAAGACAGGGTTCTCGAGAAGGAGGGCTGCCCGACACAGCAGGCTGCGCTGTGTGGGAGGGAGAGGACACGGACAGGTGGCAACACTCGGAGTAGCTGGAGCAGAGAGCTCTGCAAGGGCTGTGGTGGAAGTTGGGGCAGGGGCAGAACCGTGGGGGTGCTGGGGAGCCACAGAAGGCGCAGGGCAGGGAGCAGCAGACCGCGGAGGAGCCGTAGGGAGGGGCGGGGCCGACTCACGTACACCTGCGCGCAGACTCCTGGGCCAGCTGCAGCCGGTAGACGGAGAGGCGGTTGGCGCCACCACACACGCTGCCGCGCTCGCCCTTGCACCCCATGTCACACTCGGCCTCGCTCACGTTTGTCGCCTGGATCTTGTGGCCACAGTAGCACTCGGCTCCGAACTCCAGCCCGGCATACAGGTAACCCCTGGGGAAGGCTGCGGTCAGGCCGGAGTAGCTGCCCCCATGCAGACCCCCAGGGACCGGGAGACCCAGGGGGGATGGGAGGGCTCTGGGGCCCAGGACCGCCCCCCCCCGCCTTCCTCCCCATACACCTACCCACGTGGCCACACATGTCCTACTGACACCCACCTTATACACTTCAAACACACACACGCCCCTCCGAGCCTGGGGTCCCTCATCCCAACGCACTCTCTCGCCCCGCCCGTCTAGAGCCATGCGCTAATTATATCTCCAGAGTCCAGCCCCTTTGTTCCAGGAAACGTCCCCTAGGAATGATGCCTCCATGTTCCTTGAGAAGAGCTGGAATGAAGGGAGGAGGCAGGGATCTCGTATCCCCTCGGAAGATGGCAAAACCAGGGTCACATATCCAGCCAAGGAAAAAATTCCTTCCCCTAAAACAAAACAAAACATCCAGGCACTGCAAGGTTTTCGACTTTTTTTTTTTCCCCCATAGCCATCGGACTATTTCCTAAAAAGGACTCTCAGTGGACACCCATTCTGTAAACAGGCGAAAAGGCGTGGCCTGCTTTGGCTGCAGGGGATGAGGACGGAGAGAGAGGGAGGGTCTGGACAAGCCCCGCTCAGCCCCCTTGCCTGTGAGGCATTCTCCAGAACCAGGAAGGCTTGGCCTGCAGGCCCCTGGCCATGCAAGGCAGCCCCAAGGGGAGCAGTCAGCTCACGTCTTCACCCTAGACGCCTGTGGGCAGCTGGACAGATGGACCCGGCAGACTCGTGCCTCCACACACCTCCACGACCTGGGTGGCACGTGCCATGCTCTGCTTCACACACTCATCTGGGCAGGTGCAGCATGAGCAGCTTAAACTAAATGGGCATCTTGGTGCCTGAACCCCACCGGCATCCTGGGGCTGGGCCAGCCTGCCTTCCGTCGGTCTGTCTCACACATCCCATCTCTCTGAAGCCCTGGTTCTGGTTCTGGGGTGCCCTGAGCCCCTCTCGTATAACTGGATCCACTGATAGAAGGAACATTTTCCAAGGTGGGGGGAAACGCTTCCAGTGGGTGTTACAATGCCAGAGCAAGTGGTATCTTCCCCCTTGCCCCCTCCCTGGGATGGCTCACAGCGGGGAGGGTGAGGGACAGCTGCTGTGGGAGGACACAGCCACCAGCTGTGAGTGCCTGTCTGAGAGGGGGATTCTCCAGCCCCGTACACGCCCTCAGACGGCTGCAGTCCCGGCCCTCTCTTGACCGCAAGCTCGTGGAGACACTGAGGCAGAATCACCTGGCTAATCCCACTCCCCGATCGTAGTTTCTGGCACTCAGAAACTGGGAGATGAAAAATGTTTGTTGGTTTAAGATGCTAAATTTGGGGATGATTTGTGGCCCAGCGATGGATAACTAATATAGGAAGGAAAATGGAGTTGGCCCCGCTGTCCTTAGGGTCACCAGGGGTCCCTGGGAGGGCCTCAGACTGTTAATCCTGATGTTCCTAAAAAAAAAAAAAAAAAATCCTGATGTTCCTGCTGCGGCCTTCGCCAGAAGGATCTTTCCGGAATTAAAACAGATCACACCTCTTCACTCCCTAACCACCCCCCCCCCAGGCTTCCACTGCCTGCAGATAAGCTTCCAGATGGCTTGGCTCAGCCTCCAAACCCTATCGGTGGTTCTTTAACATGGACAGCCATTAGGATCACCTGGGGAACATTTTTTAAATGTCACACCTGGCTCCCACTTCCAGAGGGTCTAATTTAATTGGCCCTGTGATTCTAACGTGCGGCTTTGTGTGAAAATCAGAGCAGTGGTGCCCCAGCCATGGGCCTGGGACACGCAGAGTCCGTATGGTCTCTGTCTTGGAACTCAGGAAAAATGCAAATTCTTGCCACCATCTGCCCCCTCACCCCCCCCACCCCCGCCCAAACCTACTGAACCAGAAAGTGGGAATGGAGTCCAGCAATCTATTTTACCAGAGTCCAGGTGATGTGGATATCCACTCCAGGCTGAGGACCCCTGTCCTAGATGATCTGCTCCCACCATCCCCATCTTCCCCCAACCTACCTCTTCATTCTCAACACCTGGTGTATGCTAAGTGTTTAACAAATACTTGTTGAATGAATGTACACCAATCCTCTGATTAACACCCTCCAGCAGTTTACCCCTTGCCCGTGGCCAATCCGGATGCTTTAGATGGCATTCAAGGCTCTGCGTCAGCAGGCATCAGCCAGCCTGCAGTTTCCCCTCCCTCCTGACAGCTCCCTGTTGGACTTACTGTGCATCTCCACCCTGCCAACCTGAGGATGCTGGGTGTTGAGGATCTTGCAGGAGGTCTGGTCTTTGAATACGCTGTTCTTTCTGTCCTACTGTGACTCCCTAGAAAACTCCTATTCATGCTTCAAAACTCGGCTCTAGATCTCACCTTTGTAACTCTTGCTGAGCCCTGCATTCCATCCACCTTCACAAGGCCCCCATAGTCTAGACAGCACACCCCGCCCAGCACCCATCATGCTTGAAGTCTCCATCCTCTGGTTTCCTCATCTGCCTCATAGGGGTCTTGCGGGAGGGGAAGGGGGGTAAGATTAATATTTGCAAAGTGCCGAGAACAGTGCCTGGCATGGAGCAAACGCCCACCACGTGTAAGCTGCTGCTTTTCTATCCCCCAAGCCTGTGCCTGCCTCTGTCTCCCCAACTGGCTGGGGAGCCCCCAGAGGGCAGGCTGCAGCTGACTCATGGCTGCATTTCCAGCACCTGGACGCACACGTGGGCAGCAATAAATATTTGCTGAACTCAGGTGGATTATGTGAGTTCATCTGACTCATCCTCCGAAGCTCAGCTTGGCTGTCACCCCCTCCGAGTCTTTCCCGACACCCCAGGCAGGCTGGGGGCCTCTTCTGCATTTCCACAGTCTGCAGTTCATGCCATCTGAACCCTCATCCCGCTACGCGGCCCTTTTCTGTGTACATGCCGGTCTCCCCGGCCAAGGATGTGACTCCACAGGGGCCATGAACTCTGTGGAATTCACCTGTGTCTCCCACAGTTTGATACGTGAGCGAATTGATCATCCTCAAGGGCTCAGAGTCTTTCCCAAGCTGGAGAGGGACCTGTGCTCAGGGAGATGATTATAAAGGGGACAGTGCTTCCTAATCAAGGATAGAGGGAGGAATCCCTTGGCCACCCACGTGCTCATTTCCACGATGGCCATGCAGCTGAGGTCCTTCAGAGTTTGTGACCTCAGAGCCAGGCAGCCAGAGTCCGAAGGTGGGCAAGCTAGCAGCCTCTTCACAAGCCACCCCAGGTCAAGGTGGCAATGCTGGGGCCCAGGCCCAGACTGAGGGTCCCGTCCCCACTTGCCTGTCCTGTGGGGCCTCATCCACCCTTGGAAAGTCCGGTGCCTCCCCCAGTATGTGTCCTCATCAAGAACATCACTTTCTTCAACTGGACAACCCTGTGGGTACAGGTGAGTGTTTCGCCCTGCAGGATGTCCCATGGACGTCATACAAGCCTCCTGCTCACCGAGTCACACCCGCAGGTTTTTCCTACACATGAGCACAAGTTTGGACCCTTGCACACAGATCCACAAAGTCTCCTGCACATACAGCCACTATTACTTAAAGATCATGACACATGTGCATGAAGCTTCCAAACATAAGCTGCTGACCCTGCACACTGTACATACAAACTCACACTGAGGCACCGTGTCACACGACTACACGATCACTAACTCCCACAGACCAACGATCCTGCTCCTTTGCATACACACACGAGCACACGCATGCACCCCGGCATCACCCCTTCCTTGTGGCCACATGCTCATCCTCTACTGTGCCCTTCCACAGAAAAGGAAGGGACACTGCCGAAGGAAAGGAGTCTGAAATGAATGGAGCGTGGGACGTCAGGGCCCTACCGTTCTGCACAGTTGTCCTGGCAACGGAAGATGGTCATCTTTTTGTAGTCGAAAAAGGACACGCCTCGCAGGGCCCGGCTCTGGGTGTCATCCAGGTAGCAGCCGATGTACTTGGCTTTGGGGAGAGGAGAAAAGTCAGATCTGGCTGGGGACAGAGCAGAAAAGGGTTTGTAGACCAATGGTAACCAGTGTCCTTGTGGCTACGTGGCCTTCTTGACTTTTTGGTACCAGTTCCTTCCTCTGGGCAGAAACGCAGAAATGAGAGACTGAAAGTCACGTGGGCTGGCAGACCCTGACCCATAAAGGCAGTGGAGGCCAACAGAGGAGGAAGGGACCGTTCTGCAGCCAGGGTTAAGGCCAAGCCCCTGGGCTCTACCAGTGACAACTGAGCACCCAGGGAGCCAAGCCAGGGTCACTGTCCAAGCACCACGCAGACGAGACCCACACGGAGACAGCTCTGAAGAGCTTGACAGAGCTAACAGCGTGTTCTCATTTCTACAGGCTGCCTTAATATATTTACTTTTCCTTGGACATGTGGACTTGGATACCTCCAAGGATAGCCTCAGAAGCTTATCACTTTGGTCAGTTCCAGGCACTGGCCTGGTCAGTTTGGGCCAGGGTACCTCTCTAAGGTCTAGTTCCCTTCACTGTGGGGATGAAAATACTAACTCAGTGAGGTCAAAATGGAATGATCTGCATAAATGTTTCTACCATAGTGTCTTGTGCGTAATCGGCACAAAGGAAAATGAGTGCAATACGAATCTGGCCGTTCACAGCGCTGTGCAGGTACTTTATAGTTTGCCTACATGCAGGCCAAGGGGAGTGCTTTCATCCAAAGAAAATTTTTAAATGATGTATAAAAACCAATTGTAAACCACACAGAGTTTTCTTAAAGTAGTAAATATGTTCTTGTACCTCATGGTAAATAGTCATTCTCGCACATGAAGACCACACTTCACAGTTTATAAAACAGTCTTTCCCTCTACATTCTTAGAATTGGGACACGCGCTTTGCTAAGTGGGTTACACAGACCGTCTCGCTGAATCCTTATGATGATCTTTCAAGTACTAATATTCCCACTCTATACAGAAGAGGAAGCTGAGGCCCAGGGGGGTGAAGTCACTTGCCCAAGGAAACACAGCTGGTATGTGTGGAGCCAGGGTGGACCCGGGCGATGTGGCCGCAGAGCCCGTTTTCTGAACCCCTGCTTACTTCTGGAATCCAGAGATCCTTGCAAGGACCCAGGTGAAGTGGGAAGTGCTGGTAAGTTCATGCTCTTGGATGACTCATCAGAGGCCCGGGAAGACCCGGTGTCTGGCCTAAAGCCCGAGGCTCAGTGGTGGCAGAAGGAATATTTAAGTCCAGGTCTAGGGGACCCCCCCAAACCAGCACTCTTTCCACTTTTCCATTTGTAGGTAATGGGAGGATGTCACCAACCCTTGCAGAGGATGACTGAGGACAATATGACGTGCCACGGGTCACTTTCCCTGGCTGGCCTGCTCTTTCAGTTGTGGGCTGCCCCCCCCCCCAGCTTGTGGTGGAGAACGGGCTCTACCAGAGGGTGCAGGCTCCCTCCCGAGCAACCGTGCCCCTCAGTGCCAGCCTGCTAAGTGCAGAATTTGTCAGCCCTGCTGGAGACGGGCCTCATCCTGATCACTCTGAGTTTCTTTTATGAGATGAGGTTGACTAAGAAGAATCCAGCTTAAACAGAAAGATGTGTGTGTGTGGCCTTCCTGTCACAGAGGGAGTCCTGGCCCCATGACTGGGGCATGGGTGCTGTTCGCACCTGAGCTGGGGGACGGAGCCTCTGGCGAACTTTGGGCTCAGTAGACTCAGTGAACTGGGTAAACATAGTTCAGTAAAGGACAGAGTATCCCGGGATGGATCGTAGAAGAGGGGGGCGGGGGGGGGAGTGGGAGGAGGGAGCGAGGAAGGGAGGGAAAATTATTTTGGCAGCATGAGGTCTTTGCTGTCAGATCAAAAGACTGTGGGGGGTGGGCACGTATTGAGCGCCTAGTATATGCTGTATACTATGGGCCATTCCTTTTAATTTTTAAAAATTTTTAAAGTTTTGGGGCGCCTGGCGGGCTCAGTCAGTTAAGCATCTGCCTTCAGCTCAGGTCATGATCCCCGGGTCCTGGGATGAGTCCTGCATCGGGCTCCCCGCTCAGCGGGGAGCCTGCTTCTCTCTCTGCCCCTCCCCCCGCTTGCACGTGCACGAACCCTCTGTCTCTCTCTAACAGGTAATTCCAGTACAGTTAACATACAGTGTTACATTAGTTTCAGGTGCACAATACTGTGACTCAACAATTCCGTACGTTACTCAGTGCTCATCATGGTAAGTGTGTTCTTCATCCCCATTCCCCCACCCACCTCCCTCTGGTCACCATCAGTTTGTTCTCTAGAGTTAAGAGTTGGATTTGTTTTCTTGGTTTGTCTCCCTCTCCTTTTTTTTCCCCTTTCGCTCCTCTGTTTTGTTTCTGAAATTCCACATAGGAGTGAAATCATATGGTATGTCTTTCTCTGGCTCATTTTGTGGAGCATTATTATTATTATTTTTTTACATTCACACCCTCACAAGCTTCTTATTAACCCATTTTATAGATGAGGAAGCTGATCCTAATGACAATTACACCTGCTTGCCTTAGAAGCGAGTCTGTTTTGGCCTATGGTGTATGTTCTGACCAGTCACCACAAATGTTACTTCCGGTTTTCCTCTTTTCTAAGTAGAATTAGAAGCTATGACATCTGCCCCAAGTTCCTACACCCTGTACGCGTCTCGATTAAAATTTAAGCCCAGGTCTGTCCTCCCAACTGTTTTATTTGTGGGGAGGGTCTGCTTCCTTATGGTCCAGGAGCACTAAGAGCCACATTGAGACCTGATGGGGAGAAATGCTAATGCCCCCCGGATCCACTGGGCTTGAAGTGAGATGTGCTATGGCTTCGGCTGGTCTCACCTAAGGGTGAGGGTAGGGGCATTTGGCTCTATGTGGGATAGTGGATCCTGCTAGATGAAATTTTGATCCTCAGAGTAACAACAGTCAGAGGATACATGTGTATAGACATGTGTCCACTTTGGAGTGAAGGGGGGACTGTCATGATATCATTTGCACCTTCAAAGCACCACCTCTTCTATTTTTCTCTTAACAGACCTTACCCGCCCCTGACCTTGGCAGGGCCAATTATACTGCACCTCCCACCAGCCAGTGACTGCTTGATTGCTCCAGGGAAGGGCACATGGCCCACTCTTTGAATTCTTGCACATCAAAGCTAGGAGAAAGAAATCTGTTTCCCTTGGGTTAATGACGCTGGCAAGTCTCTGTAAGCCCAGAGCGGCCAAGAGCCATAATCCCTAGCACCAAAGTCAGCCTGTTTGGGAGCATGAAGCCAATGCAGAGGCGAGCAGAGAGTCACAGAGAGACAAAGGGCACAAGGTACTCCTTTGAAAACTCCAGTCCCTTCCGCAGCTGGGTGACAAGACACAACGCATTTTCCTCTTTAGCTTAAGCTGGTTCAAGATGGGTTTTTGTCCCTTGCCACCAAGTGGCCCTGATTCACGTGTTAATACTCAAGCTAAGTTGCCTGAATCCACCCAGCTCTGAGGGTCTAGACCAAATCCATGCCCAGGCCTGTCCGTTCCAAACCTGCCCCTTCCCCCTGTAACACAGCAAGTCTCAGCCTGGGAGGAGGACATCTCTGTCCCCGCCAGAGAGACTGCCCAGGGGAGAGGTTGGGTGGCGGTGCGGGGAGAGGGCCCCTTGGAAGAGAGCTGGGATTTGACCTTAGGTCCATCTGCCCCAAAGCCTGGGCTTTTAAATGCTGTGCCACCACTTCTCTGTCCTCCCACCAGGCCAGACATCAGGCTGTGAGGTCTCACACAACAGGTGCTCAAAGGGGGGCTGGGGGGGGGGCGGAGATACACAGTCCCTCATGAATGCCCTGGAGCAACACGGGTGTGTTACACACTTTGACCTGATGAACAGGCTGAGCTCTGTGAGTCAGGAAACAAACACTGAATCAGTTTCCTCCCTGTTCTAGGAGGTGCGTCCTTCCCCGCAGACACTTCCAAGCAGGCTGTGGTCATCACAACTGTCATCCCCGCCCCTGGTGCCTGCCACCTGCTGACCCCATCAGTGTGGTTCCCGCCAACCCACCTCAGCGGTTTCCCCAGCGCCCTGCCTTCGGATCCTACTGGGGTGGCACGATGTCTCCAAGACGAGGGGGACGTTAGGTATGTAACACAGGGACAAAATCACAGGCCACTTGAAGGGGGAGAAATGGCCGAGTTCACACCATCTATCAGCTCATCTCTGCAGCTATCCAAATATTGCTGAAATGGCAGAGTCGCCCCGGCCGGACTATTTATCTCCAGCACAGGAACCAAGGAGGAGGGGAGCCCTGGAGAATGCAGGCATCTGGAATAGAGCCTTCCCGACTGTGTTTTTTTCCCCCTTTTCTTTCCTTTTGCTTCAATTAATCTTCCTTTTCAAGAAATTTTGCTTTCTTCGATAAAGGTAATTTGTTAAAAGGATAACAAAACATGAACGGATCTGTTACTCCTCTTTACTGTCTGTGATTAGATTCACAAACAAAAGGCATTTTGTATGGAGTGCGGGAAGAAAACCAGCTCAGGAGTCAACCAGATCTGGTTTCCAGTCCAAGCTCTTGGAGGTATCATTCTCCTGCCTGGCAAGTGGGAGTAACAAAGAAGGGAGATGGGTTGAATTGTGTCATCCCCCGACCCCTCATCCCGACCAAAAAAAAAAAAAGACAGGCTGAGATCCTGCGCTCAGAACTTAAGGATGTGACCTCATTTGGAAACAGGGTCATTGCAGATGTGATTCGTTAAGGTATGAGCGCATATCGGAGTGGGGGCAGGGCAATCAATAGGACTGGCGTCCTTATAAAAAGATGGCCATCTGAGGACACAGAGCCACAAGAAGAAGGCATGTGAAAAGAGGCAGAAGCTAGAGTTTTGCAGATACAAGCCAGGGAATGTCAACGGTTGCTGGTGATGTCAGAAGCCAGGAGAAAGGCATGGAATGGGTTCTCCCTTGGTGTCTTTAAGAGCGCACGCCCCGGCTGACATCTTGATTTTGAACCTCTGGCCTCCTG